GTATAAATGTTATAATATTCAATATTTCAAAGTAAAATTTGTTTACTAGTGGTGCTCGCAAAACCCAGTTATCCTTGTCCCGAAAGTACAAGATCAAAACTATTTGAGGTTAACATGATAGAAAATATAGGTAAGTAACAGAGAATTAAAGGCTTTGAGACGTGAAAGATCACTATCTTTCAAGAGTTATTGCCTGTATATACTTTAGGGACTACGAGCAATTCTCTATCAGGATACAACAAAGCCTTAAACATACGTGCAGATTGAATACTCTACTTCTGGGATGTCTTCCGTATTTATAGATAAGAAAATGAGACTTTTCTGAAGAGACGCCCTTTTTCACGAATAGCCATAACTCTTTTTGTTAATTAAATAACAAAAAGTTGTTCCAAATAAAATATGAAAAATAAGCCCCAAGTCCAAGTCCAAGTCATTTAGATATATAATTAAGTATATATATAAATACACATATTCTTCTAAATGTGTCAATTGTTCATTTTATTGGACTTAATGGGCCAAGCTTTATAAAGCAACTAAATGGCTTTATGCCATCGGTGTGGGACTCCCATATATACAAACTATTCTTAACAATCTCCCACTAGTTTGTAATATATCTCATAATATCATGCATATCGAAAAGTATCTTATATAGATCTGAACTTTTCATTAGTGTAAGTATCTTAAAGTTCAACGAAGTTATTGGTATCCTAAGATTTGAACCACAACTCCATTTGTCAAATCGAAAGTATCACACACATAATATTATTACGTAGAGAAACAATCCAGTATTATGCTTTAGCACTTTTATGGCCATGTGCTAATCCAAATTCATGAATATTTACAAGATCAACTCCTTAAATCTTGTTAGAAGCGGCAGCGCCTCAATATTCATATAGGTGGAAATAGACTTTATGTCTCTGTTACTACAGACATTTGCTAATTCCATTAAGAGTTAATTCACCCTCGTTCTTGTAACAGTATGCACTTGGAAGTTTGTCATTATGTCCCTGTTATTAAAGACATTTAACAACTCCTAAACTTCTCACATAACAGTAAACAGTACATACGAATCTAGGCTCTAATTGAGAAGATTCATGCTTAATCAACACAAGCAACTTGTTATTACCCATTGAACTTAACCCATCACTACAAGAAAAATCCTTATCTAAGACCAACTTTTAGGGACGGGTTAATAATCCCATCGCAAAAAATATATTTTTGGGACGAGATTATATTGCGGTGCCTAATGATTTATTTTATTGCGAAGATGTTAATTCTGGTCCCTAAAAAAATTAATAACTGGTCTCAAATTATAATTGAGGGGCCTTGAGGTGAGAAAGTACCGCCAAATATTATACCAAAATATTAGAAAACTATTATTTTCTAAAAAAACAGGCGCCAAAGCAAATTTATTGAGACAAAAGTCTAAAAACTAAAACTCTCTGTATTCTCCAAAAACAAGCGTGCATAGATTTGCCCTAATACTCCGCCTAGCTCTAGAGCCCACATCGCTTATCTGCGTTTTCTCAAAACTCAAATTGTGAATTTCTGCCCTAATATCCATCTCGCCTTTGAGATTAATCCAAGCTATGCCTCCTCTGCTCTTTTTCTTCTCTGTTGTTCTTCGCTTATCTGTTGTTCTGCCCTAATATCCATCTTCTCTGTTGTTTTGCCCTAATGTTCATCGCTTATCTGTTGTTGTTCTTCTTCTTCTACAATTACTACTTCTCTAACATCAAAAAACTGGTAAGGTTTCGTACTTTAGTATTTTTTTATTTTGTATAATTAGTGGAAAGATTATTGGGTACCCGCTACCGTCTATCTATCTAAGGTTTCGTACTCTGGTATTTGAGTTGGGTTCCTAATTGGATAATTCAATTTCTGAAGTGTATTCAAGTTTGTGGCTTATTAAATTTATGTATTCAGTGAGAGATTTACCGAGCCAAAACAGGTACTATGTATATTGTCATATTACAATGTTGATTTACATATGAAAAGATACTGTCATATGTGATGGAACAATGTGTATACTGTCATATGTATTTTAGCATACCTGAAAAATAATAGCATCTAGAAAGAAGCAGTCTTATAGTTGCGCACGACTGCTTTGGATGATAAAGACTCTATGTTGATAAAATAAGAAAATTCAGTAGGTTGACAAGAAGTTATTAATACTTTCTTTAATTGTTCTTATTGTTCTGTTCTTCTGAAGCAAAGTTCAATTTTGCTATAGAGTCTATGTTCACAAGAAAAATAATTTACTTTGATGTAAGAATTGCAATTCCTATTCAAATTAATTGTGTCGTAAAGTATACTGTTTACGATTTTCTTTGTTGTAAGTACTTATTTCTATCTCGGAGCAGGCTATAAGAAACCATGTATGAATGTTTTAGGAAACAACATCTTTAATTACAAGTTAATTGATAATCTTTTGTCTAAATCAGAAGAATCATGGGCCTGCGTTGTCCTTTGGCCTGCTGCACTTCTCCGTTTCTTTAAATCTGATGTGTTAATTTGATCTCATGAATGGTACGTACTATTGCTATAGCTGTAAAGGTCTTTTCTTGGCTGAGATCTTGAGTTATCATGTAGATATGTAGAGTAAGCAGATTTTCAGATTTTGTTATCCATTACTGGAACGCAGTGGGCCCGAATAGAGCGAATGTATGTATGTATGTATGTATGTATGTATAACTCCAACTAGTTTGGGATTGCTCGTAGTTGATTGATTTTTTTATCATTTAAGTACGCGGAGATCATTACCTGTCATATTTAGTGGTTTTTTTGGCTATATTGGTAATCAGACTAGTGTTGAAGTATAATGTGGTATGAGCATTGTAAGTTTTTATGAGTCCTGATTTGACTAATGAAGTTCCGGATGTGACTGTAAGTGTCATTTACCTTGCGAAACACTCACTTAGCTAAATCAAACTAAGCAGCTACAAGTTAAAACGTGAATAAATGTGGTTTAGGTAGTTAAGCTCTAGACATGTCATATGTAGAAAGTATAATGCAAGAGAAAAAACTGCTATTGTTTAACTAGTTGACAGGAGCCACTGTTAGAATATTTTGCGGTATACAGGCAGAGACTGTTTCATTCGATGCCCTTCAGATTTGTACATGAGTGCTTAATTCTTCCTTTAGTTCCAGCAAGAAACACATTTGCCAAGCATTATTCCTATTCTGGGAATGATGTTTGCATCTTCGAATAATAGACTCTTTGCTACTTTAGCCATGATTGCATTGTATTTATCTTTATTATGCTGTTTGGGTCTTGGTTGTCCATTAAAGATGAAACAATAGTATAAATCTCGTTGTTTCAAGTGAACATTGGACTCAAAGCGGTACTTTTTGGAATCATGGATGATATCTTGCCTGATAAGATCAACCCGGTCCATCTATAAAGCACTGCTAATACTATTTGTATTTGTTTTCTATTACTAAAAAAGGTTCTTGGTGCCAGTTCTTTACCTTAACCATTTGTTTGAATGATTTTATACTCTTTGCTGCTTTGAGTCATAATTAGTGGCAAGATGCTTAAATGCTAAATAGCCTGTAACTTATGCTTTAAATGTTTTGACATGTGATGTTCATTCTTTAATTTGGCAGTCAAAATAGCTTCAGGTTTTATTAAAGGGGGTTTGGTAGGCTAACTGCTTGCGCAGAATGATACAGCCTTTGGCAACGGATTGTTTATAAGCAAGAAGTGTTTTGGACCCGAATAGAGCAGAATGTGTGCAGATGATTCATGTAGCCGAGTCCAACTTAGTTTATGGTTTCGGTTCACCTGAATTGAGATCAAAAGAAATTCTCCACTGATAACAAATGGTTATCCATTAACCGCAGAAAGTCTTATACTCTTATTTAAAAACCATAAGCCATAAAGATTATGCTTGTCAGGCAGTTCATCTATTAAGATGGAAAAATCCTTTCTTCTTTCTGAATTCTCTTGTTTTGTCATTCTCACCCTCTATTTTCTATTTTCTTACAAGTGAAAACAATTCAGAATAGGTATTTAAGACGGGTTGCTTATTGCTGATGTCCTCTTTCATCTTTTTTTTAAGCAACAAGTTGGTCTATTAGAATAAATTAGGATGAAAGGGAAGGTCTATGTTCTGCTCTGTTTTAAGTTCTTATTTCTTTGTTCATCCACGCTTCTGATTTTCTCATTTTTTTAGTTCCTGTGTCTTTGTTCTTGCTCTGCCCTGTTTTCTCTGTTCACTTGATATTCCTGGAGGCTAAGTTTGAGTTTAAGCTTTTTAGAAGCAACTTATGTTTAAGTTTATTAAATTTCTTACATTTAATCTTAATGTTTCACATATAGGCGAGAAGCAACAGGAATGCGGCAAATCGAGCTAAGTTGAAGATGCTTCATCATATTGGTAGCAAGCCTATTCGTGAGATCATTTATCAAAAGGTATTATCATAAAATTTCTATTTTCCTAAGAAAATATTTACGAGCTATTCTTTGACATGTTTGCCTTTGATGATGTAAAGGGCGGAAAAGATGGCAACCCACCGGATTTGGCAACAATTTTCTTTGAGACCCGTAAGAAAGATAACAAGCTTGTTGAACCTGAAGCAATTGAAAAACATGTATGTTTGGAAAATTGATAATGTAAATTACTTGAAATTATGTGAATTCTGATTTTAAATGTTTTTTTATATATTTTGTAGGCTCAAATCGAAGAAATAGTTCAAGCAGATCCATCTCTACCTAGCATAGAGATTGTAGAAAAATGTTGTGGACCTCAAACTCGTAGCCATGTATTTGGCTTTGGGGGTGGAGTGAAGGCGAAAGAATTGAAAGGTGAAACTTCTTCAAAAGCTGAATTACTATCCGCGCTACGTTCAACTCGAGAAGAAAATAAATCTTTGAATGAGGAAAACAAATCCTTGAATGAGCGCTTGTCTACCTTAGAAGATGAGATGAAAGAAATGAGGAAAATGAGAGAGTACTTTGCTGCTCAACAATCACATGTCCTGCTTACAACGACATCGCCCGTTTCAACTGAATGACCTCTGTTTTTTTCTGCTGACCAAGTTAGTAACAATATACCCACCTCCTTCCCGATCTCCCTTTAAATCATTATATATATATATATATATATATATATATATATATATATATATATATATATATATATATATATATATAAAATTTGGTTTTGTATCTGATAACATTCATAACCTAGACATTCCACCAAGTAATCCCTATGAGAAGCAATAAAAGATTAATAGTAATCTGATGCATTTGTTCTATTGTAAAGAGCAAAGTTGGCTTGACGAGCATAGATGAGAAAGCAAAAGAGAATAAAGTGATTTATTTCTTAAGAGAGGGTGAAGTGATTCTTTCAAAGAAGAAATGTGGTTTCAAAATGAAGTATTAAGGTAGCAGAATAAATGTATCTTGCATAAAATTTAGGTACAATTCAGAGGAGAAGGCTTTCTGGAAAAGGTTAAAATGCAAATATATATGGAGTCCTTAATAGCTAAACATATGGTCGTGGCATTTGAATGCTTTTTTATCTTTTAGTTGGTCTCTTGAATGGTAAATCTCGAATTGTCGTACCGGGATTTAGCGAACCAAAGTAAGATTAATCATCCCAAAGCTTTTCTAATTAATTTTTTTTTAATATTGTTGTAGCCTTGTTGATGTTGCTGGATAACACCTTGTGAATTTAGACTGCTTTTGGGGTAAGCGATTTAACTATTGCTCATATAAATTATATATGTTATTTTACCAATAGTTATTTATTATTTTAAAAACTTTGGTACTTACAGGTTTTGAAGATTGAAGATACAAGTCAAGATGCAAGTTTAGAAGATGCACAAGCTATTATTATTTTGCTAAATATGTAATGCAAAACTTGATATCATAGTCTAGCTCAGGATGTTAGCTAAGTTTTTTTTTGTTGAGGTGTTGAGAAAACATAGAAAGTAACATCATCATGGGATTTGAACTTGATATATTATCTTTTTATATCTGGATTTTCAATACCAATTTGATATTTGTTGATAAAAATTACTTTTTGTTGCATTGAGCTTTTAGGACTACTCATGGTTATTAATAGACCATGAATATTTTGCTAAATTACAAAATTATTTTAAATTGGGATGTCGTCTCTAAACATAATCTAGGACTAGCTGAAGGTTGGTCGAGAAAATGGTTTAACGACCGGATGTTTTGTCGGTCTCTAAGAAATAATTTAGGACTAGTTGGCGTTGGTCGCTAAAAAGATTTAACCAAGGGAATATATATATTTTTCATCGTCTATTAGGGACGAGAAATGTAGTCTCTAAATGTTATTCACGACCAGGTTTTCTTTCCATCTCTAAAAGGCAATTTAAGACTAGATACAGTTGGTCGCTACAAAGATTTCACTGGGAATAAATATTTTTTTATCGCCTACTAGGGACGAGAAATGTGGTCTCTAAAAGTATTTCACGACCAGTTTTTTGGTCCGTCTCTAAAGTGATTTAACGACCAGGTATTAAGACCCGTCGTTATTCACATTTAGCGACGGAGGCTATTACGACGGGTTACGACCAGCCTTTTCCCTTCGTAATTTATCCTTTTAGGACCGGATTTCAACTTTTAGGGACCAGATTTCCCTTCCTTAAAGGCCGTTTTTCTTGTAGTGCATGACACCTAATTTTTTCGGTCCTAACAATATTGTCACATCAATTCATGAGACGGATGGAATAACATCGTACAGAACATTAAAGCATAAAACTTAAATGATCATCAATATAAGTAAACTAATTTGAGACATACAGACAAATCAATTTGAGAAAAGGCATGTTAAGTACCTGACCCCTTCCTTATGTTAAATTTATTATCATGTCGATTTCAAAGAGAAAGTTAGTGATTGTGATCTTAGCGTAAATGTAATCTATGTAAAGTTTAAACTTCTTCTGGATGGATTCGCAAAGTGAGTAGTGACCAGTGAGTACATTAAACCTTATATCAAAATTAAACTAAAAATAGCAGTGCAATCTTCTATTAAATACTTCCTCTGCTTTAGTTTATTTGAACCTATTTCCTTTTTGGTCAGTTTCCAAAAAGAATGACTCCTTTCTAAATTTGGAAACAATTTAGTTTAAATTTTCAATTTTAACTTTAATGAGAAGTTTTTATAGCCACACAAATACTCTGCACCCCTTTCTAACTTGTTTAGGACTACAAATTTCAAAAATCTTCATTTTTCCTCTGTGCCTAGTCAAACAGGTTCACATAAATTGAAACGGAGGGAGTACAGTTTAACTAGTTCTATCACGATGTCCTCTCTTTCATCACTAATACCAAAATTAAAAACAATGTGTACGTGGTTCCACTTCATTTGTATGCGTAAAGCATGTCTCCTTCCTAATATGTCATGTCAATTTCAATGAAGCTTAGTATCGTAAAATACTTTGGGATACAGTTGCAAACTGAGAGCAATGAGTATATTAAATCATGCCCTATAATTACTACTTAGCTATTATATGAAGGCAGAAATAAATATTCCGAAAGCATCTTTACTTATATATAAGTAAAATAATGTCATGACGTCCTTCCTTTCATCACCATTGCTAAACCAAAAATGGAAGTAGTAAGTACCTGGTGCAGCTTCATCTGATATTCCAATTTAATATTTCTTAAGAAGAATCTAATGTCATCACTTCACTAACGAATAATAATGATATAAAACTAGGTCACCATTTGCCAACTACTTTAGGGTTTTAATACTAGTTCTAACTTCACCAGTAATTATTTCGATTCCTTTAACGCGTTCTAATAAATATATATAAAAAATAAGATACTTCTTTCCGTCAGCTATAAATTCTCTACAAACCTCTCACCATCAACCCATCTTGCTTAAACAGTAAAAGAGAGGAAACATTAAATAGCAAAAGAAAAAATGGAGAGTGGTAATGCATATTCAACAATGCCAATGGAAAATGTTAACGATGTTGAGCTTATTAATTTCATGGACGAGGCTAACTTTGAACAATTTATTGAGCTCATTAGGGGTGAAACTGCTGACCCTATTGTGAAGTTTTGCCCCAACTATGACTGCGAACACATTACAGGTTGTTTTCCTTCGACTGATGTCCAATTTGAGCCAACACCAATGGATATATTCGATTGGAATGCTACAAACATATCTAATAATCCTATTTCACTTTTTTCTTCGCTCCCCGGAGAAATGAAGCTCGGGGAAGAAGAAGAGGAGGACGAGGACGAGGACAACAATGATTACGAGGAATCTTCTGGGACAACAACTACCACCACCACGAATATGTTGCCGGCAACGCCAACGAAGAAGAGCACGAGGACTGACCGATCAAGAACTTTAATTTCCGAGCGAAAAAGAAGAGGAAGAATGAAGGAGAAGCTTTATGCCTTGCGTTCCTTAGTTCCTAATATAACAAAGGTAAGAAATTGGAACGCTGTATGCTTGATACAGACAGTATGAATTTTTTTACCCTACTTTAAGTGCACCATGTTATTTACCTTACTTCCTTGGTTACTAGCTTATCTTTAACATAGATTTATTTATAAATAGTTTTGAATGAAAAAATAATGCCAAAAGAATCTTTGCACTATCTGTATATTTCGAAAAGGTAAATTACTACTCCGTCCGTTTCAATTTAGATGAGGTAGTTTGACTCGGCACGGAGTTTAAGAAAAAAAAATACTTTTGAAACTTATTGTTCTAAAAATTTAAGGGGTAAAAGCTTTGTGGGGCCATGACATTTGTGTAGTTATAGAAACTTCTCATTAAGAATAAAATAGGTAAACCGAGAATTTAAAGTTTAATTATTTCCAATGGTAGAAATGTGTCATTCTTTTACTAATAAGAAAAGAGCTTATTTGAGCTTTTTCTTGACACGTCCCTATCACGGGTTTTAAAAATTGGAAGGCTTGTTCTCATTTAACCGTGTTTTTTTTTTGTTTTGTCTTTTTCTTTTTTTGGTTAAACCTAGTTCTGAATGAAGAAAATGTTTTTCTCGCAGATGGATAAAGCCTCCATAATAGGAGATGCAATACTATACGTACAAGGATTGCAAACGCAAGCAAAGTTACTAAAGGCAGAAATAGAAGGTCTTGAGTGTTCCTTCAATGAAACGAACAATAATCCATTTCAGAATACCAAGCAAATGAAATTGATGACCCATTATCCAGCATTCAAGAGGATATCGAAGGTCTGTTTTTACAAGAACCAAATTCTACGCAAAATATATAGCATTTAAATCAAAAGCAAAATGATAGTAATTAACATGCTAAACTAATGCAGATGGACGTTTTTAAAGTAGAAGAAAGGAGCATTTACGCGAGATTAGTATGCAACAAAGGGCGACTAGTTGCTGGTTCTCTTTTCAAAGCTCTCGAGTCTCTTTCTGGATTCAATGTTCAAAGCTCCAACTTGGCTATTTCTGCCGATGATTATATTTTGACCTTCACTCTTAATGTAAGTTCACATATAATTAATTAATTATTTTCCTACTGACTTCTGAATTATATCTATTCATTTTCTCGCATATGAGCAATATTAAGTTTTTGCTTTTTTTGGTTAAAATGAATAAACAGGTAAGAGAATGTGAGGTGGACATGAACTTGGCCAATTTGAAGCTTTGGATAGCTAGTGCTTTTCTTAATCAAGGGTTTTACATCGAGACATTACCATTGGCCTAACATTTCATTATTGTAATTTTGCAAAGTTTCTATCCTATCAACGAATGAGAAATGTCATTACTTATCGATCGTCATTTGTAACTTTTTATTATTTAAAGACACGTATTCTGAAAGAGTAAAGTTTGTAAAAATTACAATGGCGCGCAAACTGTGTACATGTGACCGACCTAATTGTTTATTACGTTTGACCTTTTTACTACTACTTTTTGGAATCAAAAACTGTCAGGGCAGTACTTGATATTGGTCGACGATCGAGACCTACAGCCATGAAAAACATTGGAGTGAAATTTTGCATATGTTATTTTGTATACGGTTAAAACCGGGCCTATTCGATTTTACTATTTGATCGAGCTAGGGAATTCCACCAATGGTCGACCTCGCGATGGATCAGACCGAGGTACAAGGATCACTGAGTTCGAGGACCGAGATACCTATCGTAAATCGAGGCCAGTAGCGATCGAGACCAAATGAGACAGACATCGAGCAAAACACAATAACAGAAAGGTGAGATATCCGTGACTAGCCGAAGATCATGGCGTAAATCTCGGAACAAATCAGATCAAGGGCGGTTGTTTAGTTAATCATGGGATTCGCTTCCGTAATTAGAAATGTACCATAACTAGGATTCCTCTGCTATATAAAGAGGGTCCTAATCATTTTGTAACCACCTTATATTCACGCATATCAAAGCAATACAATACTTTCTAGCTCATATTCTTGTTCATCGGCTAGTTTGTTCCTTAATTATTTTGGACACCGATCAGTTTGAGGGTACTTAAGCTCGAGGTTGAATCACGTTTCAAGACTAGTTTACTTTGTTTCATTGTTAATCTTTACTGCTAATCTTTACGTTTAACAATTGGTATTAGGTGAAATCACGGTTTCTTAAAACCACATTATATGTTTTATTGTTACCCAATTTTTAAGGTAAACAGTTTGGCACCTACCGTGGGGCTAAGGATAATAGTAATTGCCTGGTATTAATTTTCATGACACACACTACTTTACACTTGTTCTTATGAGTATTTTTTATTTCAGGATACACATGTCTAACTCGCAAGCAGTACCCACTCACGCCGATGACGACCTCGGATTCCTTGGAGAAAACGATAATGTAGCCGCCCAGGGATCGAAGTGCCTCCAGATGGCCACGAGGGAGTACCAATCGCAGAACCCATCGATGTCGGTTCACACATCGCCTTAAATGCAAATATGGGCATTGACCCAAGGAATGGTGTCCGCAGAGATGCCCGAGCAGTCGATCAGAACGCACAGAGTGGTGGAGAAGGCGGAATTAGCCTTCACATGATATTCGAAATGTTACAGGCTCAACAAGCTGCTGTAGCGCAACTCCAAAATCATAATCGAGCACCAAGCATAATTGAGCTCGAAATATCACAAGAAGTTGTTCATAGAATCGAACCTGTACCGGAGAAATCGAACGTCAATGAATCAGGGACCGACCCCGCCATTATGAAGACGCTCGAGGAGCTCACTAAGAGGATCGAATCAGGTGAAAAGAAAATCAAGGCTAATGTCAAAATGGTAGAGACGTTCAGTTCACAGGTTGACCAAATACCTGGGGCACCCCCGATTCTAAAGGGCTTGGATTCGAAGAAGTTCGTGCAGAAGCCTTTCCTTCCAAGTGAGGCTCCGAAGCCCATTGATATCCCGTATGCCAGAAATCCCCAATTACAATGTGACCACCGATCCAAAAGAGCACGTCACTTCTTACACATGCACAATAAAGGGGAATGACTTAGAAGATGATGAGATTCAATCCGTTCTACTGAAGAAATTTAGAGAGACTCTATCGAAGGGTGCCATGATATGGTACCATAACATACCACCCAACTCCATTGATTTGTTTGCTATGCTCACAGATTCTATTCTAAAAGCCAACACCGGATCCATCAAAGTTGCAACGAGGAAATCATACCTCTTCAAAGTAAGAAAAAAGGATAACGAGATGCTTAGGGAATTCGTATCTCGATTCCAAGTGAAGATAATGGATTTGCCTTCAGTCACCGACGACTGGGCTGTTCAAGCTTTTACACAAGGTTCATCGCTCGGAGCTCCATAGCCTCACAGCAGTTGAAGCAAAATTTGATCGAATATTCAGCTGTCACTTGGGCCGATATACACATTCGGTATCAGTCAAAGATGATCAACTAGGGACTCCAATTGGTTCGATTTATCCCAGCAGGCCCATAGACAGAATTAAAAGAGACGTCAATCGGGAGCCACAATCAAATAGAGATAGGTACCAGCCATACAGTGGAGATCGAAAAAATAACAGGCTCGGACACAACCCCGTACGGAATGATAGAAGGATCTATCGGGGACAGAGTTCCCAGGGGCTCATGAGCAAAAGCAGTTTTGATAGGGATACCCGGTCTAAGAAAGCACCTCGACTGTCAGAATACAACTTCAGCGTGGATGCGTCAGGTATTGTATCAGCCATCGGTCGGATTAAGGATACTAGATGGCCCGGACCCTTACAGACTGATCCAGCTCAAAGGAACCCTAATCAAATGTGCAAATGCCATGGTACCCATGGTCATTGAACTGAAGACTGTAGACAGCTAAGGGAGGAGGTATCACGTCTATTCAACGAGGGTCATCTTCGAGAATTCTTAAGTGATCGGGTCAAGAATCACTATAAAAACAGAGATTCGAATAGGCAGAACGAGCAGGAAGAGCCACAACGCGTAATTCATATGATCGTTGGTGGGGTCGATATCCCCCAATGATCGGTATTCAAATGCACCAAGGTGACGATCACAAGGGAAAAGCGAAATCGGGACTACTTACCTGAAGATACCTTGTCTTTCAACGATGAGGATACAAAAGGGATCAAACAGCCACACAACGACGCGCTGGTAATATCTATCCCTATGAATAAAATTCAAGTTAAACGTGTGTTGATGTATCCACGTAGCTTGGCAAACATCATTCGAGTGAGGGTCGTAGAGCAACTCGACCTCCAGTATCAAATCGTGCCTGCATCTCGAGTACTCAACGACTTCAACATGGCAAGTGAAACTAGCAAAGGGGAAATCATGTTGCTAGTAAACGTGGTATCTAGGAAACAAAGTTCCATGTAATCAAAGGTAATATGAGGTACAACGCACTGCTCGGAAGACCTTGGATTAATAATATGAGGGCGGTACCTTCGACGCTTCATCAAGTCTTGAAATTCCCAACGTAGGAAGAATCAAAACAGTGTACGGCGAACAACCAACCGCCAAAGAGATATTTTGAAATCAACGAAGTAGTACTAGTATCGACGATTTCATCAACAAAGGGATCAAAGTCAAAGGGAAAACAAGAAGTCAAATAGCAACCACAAGCCCCGGCCTCGGCCCCATTAGAGGAGCAGGAGATCTTCGAGGATAAAGATTGATAGAATATATTCAATAGAGAACCAGGTTCTCTATCAGGTTCGACAATTACACACATACACACACACACACAGAACAGAAGTTAAATGACAGGAAGAATTTTACGTGGAAAATTCCCAGCTCCACGGGACTAAAAACCACGACCTACCCTTGTAGGATTTCAACTTTACTACTGAGCAACTTTCAGATTAAAACCTGTGCAACCTAGGAATTAAACTCTTAATCCCTCACTAACTTGTAAAACACCTATTACAAGCCATTTTGCAATAACTTTATTACAAAGACTTTGAAACTTGACTAACTCTAGCCAAGGCTTAAACACACAGGTTTAAGGTTTACAAAATGTTCCTATAAAGTGCTTCTAAATAAGCTGGATAGGAATTACAATTCGAAGAGCTATTACAATGTTATAACTCAACTAAGGTCACACAATAACTCGATGTGGGAACTGGTCAGCAGTTGCTTTGTTCTTTGTTCTTGAGCTTGCTCGCTGAATGGCCACGTGAGAGAGATTTTTTGCCAAAATCTCTAAGTGTTCAAGTTAGTTGTTTTACCTCCCTTGAATGCATATATACATGTGTGACCTCACCAAGAATGATGCAATCAAGGTAGGTAAGAAGTCTTCTCCGGAAAGGTTACTATAGCACTATTCTCCACAGTGGCATGTGCAGGCAGCAACTTTCCAACTGTAGAGTTGACTTCGTACAGTATCCTCGAGAACTGATATGGACATGTTCCCTCAGCTGTTCCTTCCACTTTGAGGACATGAATCATATTCCACGCTGAGTCCCTACTTGGAGTCATGTGAACTTAAGGTCTTATGAATGTGTAACCGGTTCCTTATCTGGTTCTGGATAGCAAGTTTGTTAGGTCATCAAAACATAAAGTAAAGTACTTATAATCTAAGTACATGTAACCTATCAATTTCTCCTTTTTTGATGATGACAAACTAATAATTGAAAATCCTAGAAGGAGCCACAAACGAACCAGATTGTGAATCAGAAGAGCCTTAAGTTCCCCCTGAAACTATGCGTTCACCCTGTTATTCAATTAAGTTCTTCTCCCTTAAGTTCCCCCCTGAAACTATGCATTCATCCTTTGTCAGTACCTGAACTTTTGTGAGTTCCCACTTCCCCCAGTCCCCCCTGAATGAGGTTCCCAGAAAGGAACCAGATTGTGAACCAGAAGGACCTTAAGTTCCCCCTTTCTAATCTGTATTTTGTTTAGTCAATTCAATTAATAATCAGCTCATCAATTAGCTCATCTTCCCCCTTTTGGCATCATAAAAAGGACAAAACAGGTTAGTAGCATAAAGAAGTCTAGCATAGTTAACTCATTCCACTTATGTGCTCACAACATGATAAAAGACAGAAGTAAAAGAGCAGCAACATAGATAACAAAAAGGAAACTACTTGCATTAACAAGAATTGGACTATTACAGGCAGGAGCAGAGTCATTGTTTTACATGCACGGTTTAGAACAAACAAAAATAATTACCAAAAATATCAAAACATCACCAACAACAACTTAAAAGGATAGACACTGAAAATTGGACACCAAGGGGATATTCTTTAAGGGACACTGGAGGAATAGGGCTTGGAAGAAGAAGTAATAGTTTGGAGGACAAGATCCATGCGAGCATTCGCGGCCAATTGCTCATTGAGCAGCCTTTCCTTCACGTTCTCCACCTGTTTCCTTAGTTCGGCATTCTCCTTTGTTAGGCGTGCAACCTATGAACTGTGAGAACCACTGGAACCAGGTACCTCTTGCAACTGACTAAGCTGATTCTCAAGAATCG